GTGTTTTTATGTGGCTGATGCTTCGCAAATCATCTTAAATAAGTTTTGACACTGTGATTTAATTTAAGAAGTGCGATTTTAATGGGTTCCTCTTTAGGTGCAGACCAAGGTCGAATTGCATATTCTTCACGAAATGCTTTTTCCGTTTCGTCGTTCTGAAAATTTATTTCAAATTTAGCGTTATTTATTTTTTGAGATACTATGTGAAAAAGAGCCGAATCCAGTGTTGTTACTAATGCTCACTTGTCTGACAGTAACATGAGCCCAAGCGCACGAAATTCCTCCTGGCAAGGAGCGTAAGATACGCCTGCGGTTGGCAACAACCTTGAGTACCTGGCTGGTGACAGTGCGATTTAGAACAGTTCCGCTCCCAATTTTAAGGGAGAGCAACCACCCCTCTCCTCTTCCACTAAACCACACGAGAGGACTTTCGTTTCACCGCATATCTAGAGTGCCGCCATGCCGCACCGACACTGTACATTTACAAACACCCATGCCTTCTCCGGGATTCGAACCTGGAACCTTCGGCATGGCAGTCAGCCACGCTAACCGCTATACCGATTGGTCAACTCCAAATCTAGTAAAACCGCCCATTTAGCTGACGTAAATTTAGATAGTTCTATATTTTTAACCTTTTCATGCGGGCTCTAGGGACCAACTTTTTATCTAGGCAATCTTGTATTAGGGCCATTAAGTCAGATAATTTTACAGGAAGCAGCATAAAACCAAATCAACAGGGTCTTACACTTCCTACTCCATATTAAAGAGTAAATTTTAAATCTTCATAATTTACTGAAATTTTTTTAGACACATTTAAAGTAGTGAACGTTCGGAACATATATGTCCCAGGCCCCTGAAAAGGTTAAGTCGCCTTGAAAATACTGGTTTAATTTTTGAATTCTTTTTACTTCCTTGTACGAAGTAAAAAGGAAGTGTTGTAATCGCGAAAAGTTTCATGCAACATATTTCAACGAAAATATCCATTTTGACCGTTGTCGAATGCAATTTAACGAGTTTTTGCGTGATATCTGTGCGTAAGGACAGAATAAAAGACACCTTTCCTCCAAAAAAATTATAAAACTGCTTTAAAATTAATTCTGAAGAGAATTTTTCGTGGCGTCTGTACGAACGTATGTACGTACGTGCGTACGTACGTACGTATCTCGCATAACTCAAAAACGAGTAGCTTCAGAACGTTGAAATTTTGTATATAGGACTGCTATAACATGTAGATGTGCACCTCGTATTTGGGTTGCAATCGGCCCCACCAAACGTATATAAATATATTTATATATATATATATATATCCACTTACCTGGCTCAGTGATCTCAGTATCTTTACTCTTATATGTTTGTAAATTGTACATTTTGTGCTTTAAAATGATTTAATTATGTTGTTTTTATCTTCCGGTTAAGGATTTTATGCCTTTCGTAATTCTGGAAGCAATATTTGTACAATTATCAACAATTTAAAAGCTGTTTAAGTGTGGTTAAATTTTAAATAATATGGCGGACATATTAGTTTACATTTGGAACAGAATTGTAGATTTGTTGCCAATCTAGAGAGACTAAGCTTCGCAACAAAAAATAACGCCTTCATTTATTATTGCGAATTAAATCATGTTTAATCCTCTCTGAAATTTTTTCGAGGAAATAAGTGTTTAAGATTTACTTCGTAATTTTTAATGCAGATATTTTGAGTTTTTATGTATTTTTGCCTTGTCGCGAAGTGAGAGTTGAATTAATTGAATGAGAAATACTAAATCGTCTGTGAAAAACTGTTTCTTTTCTGTGTTGTTTGCTTAATTTCTTTCATACATCGTTTTGGCTTTATTATAGTATTTGAATAGAACATGTGGCAACGATAATTCTTCAAATGATATAAATTTTGTGCATTCAGAGTGTCGTTATAGTAAACAAATATAGTGAATTTTAAAGAGTGCATTTATTCTATTGTAGTTTATGCGCTGGCGACGAAGTAGATTTAATTTAACCCAATCAATTTAAATGAAATTCAAGAAAAAAAAATGCGTATAATTTAATATTTCGTACAAGGAAGTCATGCGGCGTACACATTAGATTTTTTTTGATAAAGCTGTGGATCTAACAATTTAGAAAGTGCCGAATGATGAATAAGCAGCAAAAGATTTTTTCAAAGAAATTACATCATTCATGATGGAAAATTATGCTTGAACAACCACGTGATGAAAATGTATTTTATCGATAACTTAACAGCGAAATGGCGCAGCTAGAAAGAATCCCGTGATTGAGAAGAAAGGATTAAAAACTCAAACCTGGTTCGAAAGATTAGAAATCTCCTTCCTTACAGCCGTGAGGTTCACATTTTTGGTGTCAGGAGATGACATCTATTGAATTTTGTGAACTCCAAGCAAAGACGAACCACAATACAATTACAGACTGGAACAATTACATGTGTGAACTGTGTGCCACCGCTTTAAATGTTCGGCCTAAGTTAAAAACCGATGGATGTGATTATTGAAGTAGATGAAAAATCCTTTTTTTACACTCCCACCCCCGCAAAAAAAAACTCGTCCGCTACAATGGATTTTCGGATGATTGTGCAGAAAATCAAATGACTGTTTTTCAGTCTTGGTTCCAAATCGGTCGCAGAAAACTTTATTGAATGCCATAAAAGAAACTATCGAAGAAGGAAGCATTATTTATATTGATTGCTGGAAAGCGTATAATTCGGATAAATTGCGAGATGCCGGCTTTGAGCATTTTACCGTAATAAACGCCATCGGGCCTCTGCTGTACAGCGCTTCGAATCTTATTTGTCCGAATTTATGCAGAGGCATTTGTACAAAAATTCTGATGTGGACACTATATGTGTTTCTCAAACAGTCTATTAAATTATACTCATTTTTTGTTGAACATCATTTAAACATATTTCCTCGAATCTCATTAAATATATATTTCTAATTTAATGAGTTCAGTTCTCACTTCCGGGTAAAGCAAAAATACATAAAAACTGAAAACATCTTCATTCCAAATTTCAAAATACAGAAAAAACTTAATTACCAAATACAGTTAAAGTAGTTAAAAGAAACAATTTTTACAGTTAAAATTAGAGTTTGTAAGCCAAAGCAAGGTTCCGTCAACGGACACGAAGACATAATGTTCGGTGCACAAAATAAAAGTTAACTTTCGACCCCACTCGGCAAAAAGACACTGAAGTTGGTGCACCAACTGACTTAATTCGCTATTCTACTAAGAATTTTTAATGTAAGCAAATGGCGGCCTCGTTATTCTTAGCAATACTTAAAATATTAAATTATTGGTAATTATATACCCAGTATATGCAGATTAACTAAGGCATAAAATTCTTATTCGTTATGTATGGAATTATGTTCAGCTTTATATGCCTTTAGTTAATGTGCCTGCATTAGATGTAGAATTATCAACAATTTAAAACTTTAAGTGGCTAGGCCTAACTAGGCAGCCATTTGTTTACAACTAATGCATGCAAATTAACTAAAGGCATAAAAACTTCAACATAATACATAATTAACGATTAAGGTTTTTATGGCCTAGTTAATCTACATGCGATATCTATAGAATTACCAACAATTTAATATTTTAAGTACCGCTAAGACTAACATGGCCGCCATTTGTTTACATTCTGAGAGTCTTATTAGAATAGCGAATTAAGTTAATTGGGTGCACCAGTTTCAGAATCCTTCTACCCAGTGGAATCAGAAATCAACTTTCAGTTGTGTGCACCGAAATTTTTGTCTTCCTGCCTGCTAACCTTAGGGCTTGTTTTTGCATAGAAACTCTAATTTTAATTTTAATTTTTTTAATCCTTTGTTGCATACAAATAATCTAGAGAAGTTAAACGAAAATGTTTGTATTTTTTCCACTTAAAATAACCTTAGTCATAAAAAAAAAACAAATTAATTTTATTCAAATTTCGTTTTAAATAATTGCTACAGTTTGTTCACTACAGCGGACAGCATGCATATAAGTACATGCATCCAAATCTCTTCCCAACGATTTACGGTCATTGCTTTTGAAATCATTTCCTGCCTTGTTTGCAGTGATCATTACCATCTTCTAAATTGTAAAGCTACAACTGACATGTACATACAGATCCCTCAAAATACATTCATTTCGTCGATTGTGATTGAATTCATTTTGCTAAGATTTTGTAACCTGTACCTATCGGATTCAAATGTCAAATGTTCTAGAAATTCCTTGCCAAACATAAACGTTTCCAGTGGTGTTTTGGCTTGATAAGCAGTACATTTGGGTTTCAATTCACTCTTTTCGGTAGATCTTTATCTACCCACTCCACAATTTTCTCAAACTGACATTTTAAACAAAATGTCTAAAATTACTAATTATGAATAAAAAATGGCAGTATAAGAAAATGTAAGCAATATTATATAATGTATACTATGAGAAATTGTACTAACTTGGAAACAGAAGTAGCAGCCATTTTCCAAATAGCAATGCTTTACTTAGTGATGCTATACAGCCATCTGTGATCGACAGTTGAAAGTTCTATTAATATAGAATGAGTAAACACAGGAATGGAATCTGTTAAGGCATTTACAGAAGAAATTTAAACTTTTGTCTACTACAGTGGACATGATGCAACAAAGGGTTAACTGTTCTTACAATATTTTGTGTTTTAGGTTTTTCTGTACTTTAGAATTTTTAATGAAGATATTTTCAGTTTGCATGTATTTTTGCCTTGCCGCAAATAAGGAACTGAACTGATTAAATGAAAAATATAATTAAGTTCGAGGAAAATAAAATGTGGCAGAAAATGTGTACAGTTTAACAGGCCGAACAAGGAGGCCATGTGGTGTCCATATCAAACATTTCTCATACAAGGAAGTAAAAATAGAAAGAAGAAGCTAATTTTAAGCTATCTGCATGCATAGCATATTATTTATAGTTCGTTGAATGGAAGATAGCTTATGAAGAAATATCATGTGGACATAAATAATTTAGCTGAATGTTTCACATACCAGAAATCCAAGATCCGTTGAAAACCCTGGGCTCGTACTCCCCAGATATCACTTCCTCTAAGGAGAATCTCGGATTTTTCACGCGAGGTTCTTCAGGACCTGAAAAGAATAAACATTACATGAAGCAAAAAGGGTGAAAAAACTTAGAAGTACATATATATGTAAGATATAATAAAATACGATAGCTGCTTAAACAAAATAATTGACGACCTCAAAATTAAAATTCTAGATTTGGTGATCTCCCCAGAAACTCATCTATTCTCCCCAATTCGAGAACTTTCGACGTTATATATCGCTGCTTGAAAAGGGTAACCGAAACTAATATTAAGGGGACTCATACACCTTAAACCCCTCATGATCTTCGAATATGTGACTATTGCAAGAATTGGGATATTTTATTTATTTTAAAAGCAATTACTTCCAACTTTTTACAGCTGACTACATAATATAGCTACTTTGGAAAAAAGTAACCAGAAAGTTTGTGTTGCCACAAATATTTTTGTAATTTAATCCTCTTTGTGACAAAATATTTCGCCATATTTCCACCTTGCGCGCATGATATTTTAAAAATGGCTAATGATACATACTTGAAATTCGATAGAATTTTTTATGTGGGCACTATTTTCTAACTGAACCAACAATCTGATGAACATTTTAATACTGAAAAATTTTATGGACGAAAACATTACAAATTTTTTTAATAAAATACATTTTATAAACTCAACTCAAAATAAAATAAAAATTTAACGTGAAATTTTTACAATTTTAGGTTCACAGTAGTTTCCAGACGTTATAAAAGCTATATATTAAATATGGAATTAAATTATGAAACAGAATGTTTTAAACTGTGCGCGCAAGTTGGAAACATGACGAAAAATGTTGTCACAAAGCGTATTAAATTATAAAAATGTTTGTGGCAACACAAACTTTCTGATCACTATTTCAGAAAGCAGCTATATTATGTAGTCATCTGTAAAAAGTTGGTAGTAATTGCTTTTAAAATAAATATGTTATCCCAATTCTTGCAACAGTCACCTATTCGAACATCTTATGGGTTTTAAGATGTATGAGTCCCCTTAACCAATCATAGCTTGTTTCTAGAATCGCACCTACTCACGTATAAATACTCTGGCAAGTTAATTACGTCACTTATTTAAATTGTGTTCTATAGTTGTTTTGTATTGTGTTGTATTTAGCACTATTGATTGAGGTTGTTTAATTGTATTTGAATTTGTCATTGGGACTATTTCTGTAGTGTATCTTCTCATAATGTTGTCATTGATTTGCATTGTCTTGGGTCCTCTTTGAAAGCTATGATAGCTCGTCACGTTTTGCGAACTTGTCCGATTGGATTGTCTTGCTCCTTTTGGTACTTCTCTTCTTCCCCTTTTCTCCGTTTTCTCCTCTGAGATTTTCTCCACGTCCGGATTTCTTTATGTCAAGTGCCCTTGGTCTTTAATTCTGGAACTGGCAACATTGCTCTTCGCAATAGCTCGGTCAATTATAGAGTCTGAGTCTATTACGCCACTTCTTCTGCTAGCTTCTACAGTGCTAATAGCTCCTCGCTCTGAAACTGCCCGCGTCTTAATCGATGCACATAGAAATGTATCGTATTTCACTATGATTGAATTATATGTCTCGGATTTCATTATGATTAGATAAATATCTATGGGGATGATTTTATATGCGTGGAAATAAAGGCTGGAAATTCTTCAAGTTTATGTTTTATTATCTTCATCTGTAAACCTTCACTCTCAGCTACGACAACTGAAAGCTGATTCTTCTTCTATGCTTCCTAGAAATATGACATATATATAAAAGAAATAAAGTATGTAACTGAAAATTACTGTCTTTATTTCATCGATGGTTTCGCTGATTCCTGATTTTCATTTGGTCATATCTCCTTCCTGGAATCTAAATTGGATCACTCGAAAACTAACTTGCATTATCTGGAATGCCGTAAGCAATCGCAGGTCAACATTTAAACAAAGGATTCAACTCTTATAAATACCCCTTTGTTGAAATGAGCAGTTACATTTCCACTCTGTCCTGTCCTGCTAGCGCCTGTCCCACGTGTATGGTTTATTGTCTTCGATTGTAATAAGTTGTACATAAAATTATAAGGTGTTTGTCGTAGCCATAGTGATATGTAAACCAAGAATATATATCCTAAGATATTATTCATCAAGAAATAAAATTATGTGTTGAATATCCAGCTACTTTTGGTCTCCTAATTCCATTCGTTTGTTACGCATCCTATCGGTATGCCGGCAACATCCATAACATCTGGCCCATGACTAAACACTTATTGACGTATTCTTTCTCACGTATCCTAAAATATCGCTATTCCCATATCTTCAAGTTATCATCCCTACAAAATTATCATTATTTTATGGCTTTAGTGATCATTTTTGAGCAGCTTAATGCTGGAAAATTCTAGACATGATTATATTTTGTTTTAAAAAATGGTTTGCAATTATGAAATAAAAATAAGCAGCTATTAGCAGTTATACTATTTTAATAGTTTTAAAAATTTAGGCGTTAGAACTAACATCACAAAGACAAGAGTTAAAGTTGTAGAGACATTAGGTTAATTGTAAAAGCTGGAGAGACGAAAATTGAGCAAACGCCTTCGCCTGGAATCGAACCACGGACCTCTAGATACCTGCATATTTACTCTATACTTACTGGCATCTGTAACTTTGAAAATCATATTCCAACTGCCACGACTGTCTAAGATCGAAGACGCATATATAATAATAAATCTAAAAAAAATACTTAAGATTAAAAATTGTCGGGTTGATTATATGTATATATTGTTGCATATACTCATGAAGCGATATTGTCCAAACCAAACCTAAATAATAGCGTCAAACCGACTGATGATCATCGCATCAAAACGAGTGGGGATCATGAGTCACCTGTTGAGTTACCACATCAAATCAAACAGTGACAAAGATTTACCTGAACCTGGCACTCTACTCGTGCCTATTAAACAACATTTTCAATTTTGATATTATTTCCATAGAAGCGAAAGTAGCAGCACACACATAATTGCAGAAAGACGTCTAGCCAAGAGGAGAGCACAAGCTGAAGTATGTAGTTATGCAAGATGGAGGCATGCGAAGGGAAAACTTTTGGTTTGCAATTTGGTGATGGGTCAAGAGGCATCTGCATTAAGGTTAACGTAAGATTGCATGATTAATTTGAATGACGCAGTTTAAACATAAGGGGACTCATACACCTTAAAATGCATAAGATTTTCGAATATGTGACTGTTGCAAGAATTGGGATACCTTATTTACTATTATAAAAGCAACGTTTTACAGCTGACTATATAATATAGTAGCTGTTTTCTGAAACAATAATCAGAAAGTTTGTGTTGCCGCAAATATTTTTATAATTTAATCCGCTTTGTGACAAAATGTTTCCGTCATGTTTCCACCTTGCGCGCACAGTTTAAAACATTCTATTGCATAATTAAATTCCATATTTAATATAGAGCTTTTATAACATTTGGAAACTACTGTGAACCAAAATTTCTAAGAATTTCATGTTGAATTTTTATTTTATTTGGTGTTGAGTTTATAAAATGTATTTTATTAAAAAAATCTGTAATATTTTCTTGCCTAAAATTTTTTAATTTTACAATATTCACCAGAATTTTGGTTCAGTTAGAAAATAGTGTCCATATAAGAAATTCTATCCAATTCAAGTATGTACCAATAATCATTTTTAAAATATCATGCGCGCAAGATGGAAACGTAACGAAAAATTTTGTCACAAATTGGATTAAATTACAAAATATTTGTGGCAACACAATTTCTGGTACTAGTTTCCAAAGCAGCTATATTATGCAGTCAGCTGTAAAAAGTTAGGAAATAATTGCTTTTAAAATAAATAGAATAACCCAATTCTTTCAACAGTCACATATTCGAAGATCATAAGGGGTTTAAGCTGTATGAGCCCCTTAAGCGCTATTTTTAGGAGATAGGTGAAGTTCTCAAATGAAATAGAAAATAAAAGAGGTTATAGTGAGTTAAATTTAGAAGTTTGCTTTCATATTTTTTATCTTACATATATATATCTTACACATATATCTATATCTATATGTATATCTACACGTATATATATATATATATATATATATATATTTCAGCGTCATACATGCTTTCACAAAAATAGCTAATCGACATTTGTTTGATTTGAACAACTCCGGAAAATATGTGTGGAAGAGCAAACTCATAAATGAATAACTCCAACATCGCAGAAGTGTTTGATATCTTTGGCAGAGTAAAAGATGGGAAAAAAAAGCTAAAATTGTTTCTGCAGTGAACAGGCAGGGATGCGTTAAGTGTTCGGTCGAGCTCGATGTCAGCATCATCCTGAATGTCAAGCTACCGCAAGATGGATTGGTTGCTCAATCAGTATTGCTCGCGCGTTGTGTGACAGGTATTTGATGGATACGTTTATGCAATATCATTTTGCTTGAGCCTGATAGAACCATCTATATCGAATACAGAGACTATAACGCCGGGTTAACCAGAACACAGGCAAAGAGACGAACGTCAAACGAAGAGACGAAAGTCTTACGAATAAAATTACAAAATAAAAACATTACTTACTTTTCTTATACACTTCGGAAACTTTCTAAGGCATTAAAACATATTAAGAGTTTTATATATTGTTGCGAATTTTGTTATATATGTGAATAATTTTAGTGAAATTATATATGAAATTGTAATATCTTCTGTATAACATAACAAGAAATGCTTGAAAGGAAAAATAAGGGTATATAGGAAATTCAATTTATTAAGTACTGAAATAAATGGCCATCTTGCTAAATTGGCGAGATATTGGGAAGCTGGTGATAGCGTTGGAGACTGATTTGTCCCTGAACTTGGCGAGAAATCGCCAAAACTCGCTAAACTTTGTTAGTGAGACGAAAACAATTATTACGTTGACTAATCCATTTTAAAATTTGGATGGGGGGCAGCTCATTTTCTGAAAGGACTGATTAAGGGGGGAAGAGATTATTTATAATATATTCAGAAACTGGCGCTAAAAATCTAACTGTGGCGGAATATAAGAGAGGAAAA